TTACTAACCTCTTACAAAGAATTACTTCTTTTTTTTTTTCTTTTTTTGGTATTGGGGATTGAACTCGGGTCCTTGTGCTTGCACACCAGGTGGCAAGCCAAGGCAGGAGAGTTGCTGTGACTTTGAGGCCAGTCTGAACTACATAGTGAGACACTGAAAGAAAGAAATTATGTTATAGAAGGTATTTTTGATTTTTATAAAAGAACTTAAACATATCAGTACCTTAATGAGCCATCAGGCAATAAAAATAAATCTGCAGGGGAAGGAAAGTGTAAGAAATTACCTGTAGATAAACCTTCTTCACACCAGGCACATAATCTGCAATCCGGCCAAAGAGAAGCCGTCCAACTCCTGAAGTGATACCAATGCTCATGAGAACCACCTCTTTATTTTTTTCTTCTTGAAATGTTTCATTCACGTGTTTCATCTGTAGACCAAACAAAAAGATGGTAGGAAAACTTGCCAAGTTTTGAGGCTTTGCATCAAATGTTTGTTTCTCTACAGTGTTGGGGGCTCTCACCCCCTCCCAAATTAAAATATTTGTATGATAATTTTTCATGAGAACATGTGAAGAAAATCTAACATGATTCAGCTTGCATAATAAGAAATGAGTTTTTCTGAGTTTTTTTTCAGTAAAGGGTTACCAGCATACACGCTATAAAGTAACACTGAGCCATTCACCAAAGGAAGAAAACAGATTTTTGAATGAACCACATACCTTAGTTTCTTAGTTCTCTCAAGGCTACCCAAGGACCAAGCATATTATCTGTGGAGCATATTTAACTGAAAGACAGTTAACATGTCATTTCTGGAATTTTATTTCTTCTGGGGCACCTGAGCCAAACTGATACCTCTGAAATAAATTATAGCACAATTTCCAGGATGAGAGTGCAAGGTTCCCTAGTTGCTCATTTGTGTATTACTAGAAGAGATAAAGATATAGGAGCAGTTTCACATATTAGCTAAAAGATTTAAGCCTTGGTGAGTCAGATTGCTTGGATTCAAGTCCTGCTTCCATTCCTTATCAGTCCTGTAATTTGGGGTAATTTCTTAAACCTCAGTTTCCTTGTGTATAAGATGAAAATAGCAATAGTACCAATCAAGGGTGGGCTGTGAGGATTAAGTAAACTATCTATGTAAAAAATTTAGGGAGCTGGGTGGGTGTATGTAGCTCAGTAGTACAGCACTTGCCTAGCAGACATGAGGCCCTAGGGTAGATCCTCAGCAATACCAAAAAAAAAAAAAAAAAAAAAGAGGGAGTGCCTGGTATACACTTAATAAGCAGACATTCATTTTAGCCCCTCTCAACTTTTTTAAGGACCTTTCAGGGACCAGGTGCTCTAGATGTGGAAAGGGGGGAGAAAGGACAAAGGCCCTTTTCCTCCATTTGCAATCTACTTAGAACAGTGACTACACAGACTTCTGGCTACAGATAGCCAAGAAGCATATTTTGTTTGGCTTTTCCCTAACACATCTAGAATTCAGTGTCCCTCACACCAAACACTGGCTTGAGTTCTGGAGGTCTGCAAGTTTCCCTTCCAACTCAGTGGTCCATACAGTTCAATGTGGTAGCTGTAGGCTTTATGGGTGCTATCTCCCTCCCTAAGACACTTCCATTTTTGTGGGTTTTTTTTTTTTCATTTCACATTTTTTACAGGAGATTTTAATTTGGCTCACATCCATGTTGCATTCTTAAAACCCATTTGTATATCTCACACCCTCTCATTTCTTTCTTCCCTTTCAAAATTGGTAACAGTTCTAACTTCTCTGTTTTCGCACTGGTACAGAATAATCCTCTTAAATATGGCTTTAATCTCATCAATCTCTTATTCAAAGGTTGCTCACTGCCTACATTTTATACTCTTTAGTTTGGTATTCAAAGCCCTCTTTAAATCTGTTGTTAATCTATTTTTGTGTCTTTATTACCTATTAAGCCTTGGCTCAGAGGAAGAAAATTCAAATGTCTACAGGGGCCCAGGCAAATAACATAAATATGTATAAAGAGAGAAAATGCATACACTTCAGTTACTATTATTACCAGTGTTGCCAATTCTACTTCCTAGCCCCTTTCATAGACTAAAAAGAAGAAGAAGAAGAAATATGGATTTTCTGTGGGAATTTGACACCTAACTTAAATTTGATACACCCTGTGATTCTGCCCTACAAAAGCCAAACAAAACATGTCTGCAAACTGCATTAGGCCAGCATTGATCTTATCTGTAATCCCATCTGGCTCAGCAGGACAAGTTTATTCACAATATCCCTCAAACATGTTAACATTCAGTGGTCTCTTCTACCCTTCAGACTCTGTCATTTCTTGCTACTACCTAAAGATACCATTTGCAACTTTAAGTACTGAGTGTTTCTACCCAGCCTCCTTAGCTTCTCACTCTATCTATTCTCTTGCATAAACTCTTCCAAGACGAACTAGGCATTGTCCACGCCTGTTTCAAAGGTACCTCAAAAACATGCCCTGTGCTGAGCTGACATTTCCTTCACAACTTGCCCTCTCCTCATTTTAGCTAACACTACCATTCCTGGCCGGGGGAGGCTAAGCAGGATGATTGTGAGTCCAAGACCAGCCTGGGCTAGGAAGCAAGGCTCTGTCTCAAAAACATAAAACAAACCCAAAAAATCAAAAAAAACCACTAACTTGTTT